CAACGTCACGAGTTGAGGCAAGCAGCACACCATCCACACCATAAACAGTGTTGGTGCTGCACTGCTTCCCCCCCTGAGACGCCGGATGGTGGACCAGAATCGCCTTGAAGCCGTGCGGAAGTCTTTCTCCATGGCCTCTCCAAACTCCTCCCACGCCCGGGTTTTTGCCTCAGCGACCACCCGATACATTTTTCAAATAAAATGTATATTTTTAATCTATGGTCAAAATATAGATTTACACAGATTCACTATATCCAATAAGTGTCTATGCAGAGTATTAACACATGTCAAATTATACAGATTGTCCCCATTTTGCATGTTTACAAACGTATATGATCACGAATGAGGGAAGAATGGAGCGGGAGATCGACAGACGGATTGGTGTTGCATCTGCAGTGATGCGGGTGTTGTACCGGTCTGTCGTGGTGAAGAGAGAGCTGAGCCAGAAGGTAAAGCCCTCGGTTTACCAGTCGGTCTACGTTCCTACCCTCATCTATGGTCACCAAATTCGGGTAGTGACCGAAAGAACAAGATTTCTGATACAAGTGGTCGAAATGAGTTCCTCTGCAGGGAGTCTGGGCTCTCACTTAAAGATAGAGTGAGAAGCTCAGTCATCCGGGAGGAACTCATAGTAGAGCCGCTGCTCCTCCACGTCAAGAGGAGCCAGTTGAGGTGGCTCATCTGGTTAGGATGCCTCCTGGACGCCTCCCTGGTGAGGTGTTCCGGGTACGTCCCATTGGGAGGAGGCCCAGAGGAAGACCCAGGACACGCTGGAGGGACTATGTTTCTCAGCTGGCCTGGGAACACCTTGGGATTCCCCCGGATGAGCTGGTCCAAGTGGCTGGGAAGAAGTAAGTCTGGGTCTCTCTGCTTAGGTTGCTGCCCCCGCGACCCGACCCCGGATAAGTGGTAGAAAACGGACGGACGGACAGACAGATATATATGGCAATCTTATGTTTTGTTTCAAAAACATTGATTTGCATTAATTTAAGCCTCAGAGACAGTAAGGGAATATGTTTGCTACCTCCTCATCCCCCTGTCCCTCCTCCTGTGCCACTGCAACCAGATTTATTGCTGTCCTGCATCTTCTACCCTTGTCCACTCCAACATCCCCTCCCCTCATTCCTCATTGCATCGTTTAGTAGTACTATGGATTTTTTGTGAAAATTACAGGTTTCTGAGAGGGTTGATTTGTTACTCTTAGAAAGATACTGTGCTTTCTGTCCTGAACATAAGGCACACCATTAGAACTGAAAGTGAAACCTGCTTCGACACTAAACGGCAACCAGGAAGTCAAGAACCGGTCTGGTTTCTTAAACCCAGTAAGGTGATCCAAAACACTCTTAAATCGTACCTTTTACACTGAGCGTGTGAGTGGAAGTGGTGGTCTTGCCAGTGACAGGATTGAACGCCTCGCACGTGTACGTCCCGGAGTCTTTGTACAAAGCATTTTCAATGACTAACTTATTTGTTTTGACGTTGAGCAGTGTGCCATTTAACTTCCAGGTGATGTTGGCAGGTGGGGTGGATGGGGGAGAGCAGATGAGCACCACCTCGGTACTGATCTTGACTTCATCTTTACCTTCCACCTTAAATGGTTCAGGACCAACTGGATACCAAGAAGAGAGGATTTAATAAAATAACGTTTTAGCTTTGAATTAGCACTACAATTATTTAATGAACGACCTGTCTAAACAAAGCAAATCTTACTGAAAAACAATTATCAACACAATAAAACCCCAACAACTAAATATATTTGATTAGTATCGTAGGAAAGGAAACACTTACAGCTGACTGCCATCTTGTAGGAAGCTTCTTTTTCACTGACAGAGTTGCGGAGCTTACAGACGTAGTTTCCATTGTCCTCCTTCTGTAGCACACTGATAAAAAGGGAACTCTTGTCACTGGAGAACATGATCCTAGAGTTTTCAGACAGAGGTGTGCCATCTTTTATCCAGCTTATTTGGGTCACGTTGCCTGACGTCGCCTGGCAGCTGACGTTGGCCGAACTGTTGCCGGCGATGAGGATACCAGTCGGGCCGGAGATTTTAGCATCTGAAATAGGTTCTGTGAACAAAAGAAGAAAATATTATTTTATTGCTATTTCATCATTTTGTTATCTTACATGACCTCAGACATCACGTAGATCACAAAACAAACTTTGAGAATGTCCCACAAGGCTTTACCACGTTGCTCACCCATCACAGAGAATCTAACAGCAGGAGAAGCAACGGCACGCAGGGTTTTGGCATTTTGAGCTCTGCAGGTGTAGTCTGCGTAATTTTTTCCAAACCCCTGTGCTTCGATGGTTTTCAGGGTAAGAACGGGACCGCTCGCTTTGATTTCGTCCTTGTTGTGGTACCATGTGAAGGTGGCAGGCGGGCTAGAGGAGGGGGCTGCACAGGTCAGGTTGAAGTCAGAGCTGGACGTGATGTAATCGCTGGGTTTCAGGGGACTTATAGTGACATCATCAGGGCCATCTGTGGACCACAAAGGGATGAGTCCAAAATACAAGATTGCAAAGAAAATATTAACATTAAATTATTTATTTCACTTGTACAAAAATGTATTATACTTATCAGAAATGCATCTATGAAATCATTTTAATATTTACTATTATGTTAAGATGTTGCTGTTTGAGTTGATGTTTTTATTTGTATTGTTTTTTAAATTATGTTTTGTTTGAAAATGTTCTGAGGATAAAAGGGGCAGACGTTATAAGATTTATTCTTCTTCGGCAACTTTTCATTTTATTTTGATTTTTGATTTGTTTAATTATTCATTGTTTTTTATTGTATATAGTTATTTTTAATTAAATTAATATTTTTTTTGAACGGAATTGAAAAGATGATTTTTTTGCTTTTTTCAAACAATAGAACAATAGAAATTGAATCTAAAGTGAACTGCATTTTTTTTGTATATTTAGAATTTTAATTTCAGCATTTTTCCCCAAATAAGCTCTTGATCAGTTGCATTTAAACAATATTTCACTCAATCTATAGAAACCATTTTATGTCAAGATAAAACATCAACTTAATTTTAGTAACAAACTAGTTTTTCTTTCAGTAGACGTGTTTCCAATTTTAGTATGAATTTGTTGAAAAATGTCAAAAAAAAGGGGGAAAAAAAGAGAAAATCAAATGTGTTTCCATAAACTAGCTCGGTACGAATCAACCAGGTTACACAAAGTGTAATTACGTCAGGCGTTGAAGTTACGTGTGGCTGTAGTAAACAGGAAGTAAAGTCACAAACTCACAGGGACACATCACAGGATAATGGAGATAAGTTTTCAGGGAAAATGTTACATGTTGTCTGGAGACGTAGAAAAAGAAATGCAATTCTCTTCACTTTATGGGAATATCCAGGAAGACGCCGACCGCAGGAGGAGGGTCCAGCTGCAGCCGCTACAATTATTGGACAGCAGGAACAGCTGGTCGAGGTAAATGTTCGCTACTTCAGAACTTATTCGGCAAATGTGTTTCCGTCTCCCCTTTTGCACATTAACTCTTTTTCAGGAAAACCAAAAACCAGCTCAAGCGAGCATATAAACTTTTTTTGCGAAACTGAGGAAGTTTTTGCAAATTTTGTCATTTCCATCCAGCTTTTCTAACGCAATGCTTCAAAATGCGCTTAAAGAAACTTTGATGGAAACACAGCTATTGACAGTCTGACCAGGTTAACCCCTCCTGAACTGTAGCATTGAGCTTTTGATTAATTAATAACAGGACTAAGCTGCGGTTGGTGTGGTTTGACTGCCTTTCAGGTTATTCATGCTGAAGGAGACGAGGTGTAGGTTGCTGTGTACACAGTGTGGTTTGAGCTTGACAGCACAGGCTGAAAGGGAGCGCCTTGCAAACAAACGCAACAGTTAGAAAATGCAGTAGTTTAAATAACAGAGTCTACTTTGATACTTGTTTTTGTTTTTACCAGAATTGACCACGATTTAAGTTTTAACAACAAAAACTGTAGACATATTGCAAAAGCTTGTGTGTGGGTGTGACTCGAAGCAACAAAAAGGTAGATTAAGTATTTATGACGACTGGCCTGTTGGGTTTGGAGTGACCTTTTGCTGTCAAACAGGTGTGGATGTTCATTCAGTCAAGTGCAACACGTCAAACAATGGGAATCTAAAGAAATAAAGAAAGCTAATGACTGTCTAACTGCCATGGCTGATAAGAAAGAAAATGATTTCAATAAAAAAAAAGAGTAACTCAGAAACTATTTCATTAGTCTCAAATAAAAAATGTGAAACTGACAAATTGTGGAAATATTCATCCTTGAATCATGTTATCTCTCAAAATCACCCATTTTTTATGAAATCCTCTCATTCAAGGCAGCATCAGTAAAGCTTTGGACTTTAGATTTCATTCCTTACAAACATGAATACTGGCTATGATGGTCATTTTGTGAATTTGAAGTACAGAAGACCTGTTCCACCTGTTTTTCACACGTCAAGCTAACAGGTTTTGCTGCATGTGACCTTGTTCACTTTTGTAAAGAAGCCACAAAGTTTTGCCTCAAAATTTAAATGAAACTGACAGAATGACAAAATTTGCGTTAAAGAAGAATGGGAGTGGAAGTTCTACTAAAGGCAATTAAGTTAACAGCAGCTATATATTCTTTGCTGAGGCGGCGGAAGTTTCTCTTAAGTGGTAACTTGATCTGCCTCTGGAGCTCATTCCTCTGTTTTCTAAGTCACTCCTTTTTTTAGCCAAAACATGTTTGCTGTTGTGTAAGGGGAGTTACTCTGCAGAACGGTAGAAAGATAAGTAAAAAAAAAAAAAACTTACAATAAACTGTGAGGTTGAAGGGAGGACTTGTGGCTTGTTCCATGGTGTTCTTAGCAGTGCAGGTAATGGGCCCAACCAGATCAGACCTGAGGACACCTGTGATGGTCAGCTTACTGGAACCTCCGTCCGTTGATGGTGGAGTCTAAAGAAACAAAGGTCAACCAGATAATGAGAAACAAATTCATCATAACACATTAAGTGTAACACAGCTGTTCTTTTTTCATTAATGCGGTGTTTTAGCTTTCCTTAAAAATAATTTAAATCACATTTAGTAYATAGATAAAGCTAGTGGTTGTATTAAATTAAAGGTTAACAAATTTGGYTAGGTGAGGTAATTGGCTCATCCTGAGTCTGGTTCTGCATGTTTATTAAAGTTGAAAGGAGGATAACTATTTTAAAATGTATTAAATCTGACTAATTTGTTGCTACCACTAGACTTTATAATCTGAATCTGCCTTTATTTGACAAAAGGTACAAAAGGGTAAAAATAAATTAGAATTTTGATCCAAGGATAGCAGGAGGGTTTTTTGAAAAAACTGCAGAAACTGGACTTCACGCATGTAAAAGGAGACATATGATTTTATAACATTTCCACATTTAAATCCTTCAGTCGGGGTCTATAGAAAGTGGAACTGCAATGCTTTGGTCTGAATTYGTCCTTATTGTAACTCCACAAGCCCCTCTTTCACCCCTTTTCTGATGCGTGTCTCAGATTGACTCATTTTGAGGCTGTCTCTTTAAATCCAAACAGGGTGTTTCACACCTTGCAGTTGAAAAGTCCATACCTTATTTAGAAATTATGTCACAAATTCTGTGATGTAATATGTAAGCGCCATTCATAGTAAAATATAGTTTAAGTTTAATATTTTGTTTGGAAACTTATTTGTGTTTTATTTAGGTTTGGTTTTAGTTATGTTTCTAGCCTATTTGGGCTTCCGTAATTGCTATACAGGAAGTGACGTTTGTAGAAATAAGAAAAGCAATTAGTAAACGAGCTACAGCAGAGATTGTTGTTTTAATGTAAACGTTGCAATCAAGCCATCTCAACACGTTAAAACAGTGTCCTCTCCTTCATTTATGATGTAAGATGGATGGAAGGTGATAAAGACAAACTACGATCCTTCATTAAGTAAAACAACTACCTGCTCTGACGTAGATCTCAGCGTAGCATGAAAACGACAAGAACTGCAGGTATTAAAGTGGAAAAAATGTGTGTATCTCAGCTTTATGTGAATGTAATACAACAAGGACTACAAGTACACAACAAAAGGTATTTAACAGCTAAAAAAGTTAATTTTGCATGATATGTCTACTTAAATGCAAATAATACCTGTTTTTTTT